TTAAACCTTTATTTAAAATGTTTTTATAATAAAAAATAAATCTAATTGAAATATATAAAGAAATATAAAATATTATTATTAGAAAAGTTAATTATAAAATAATAATTATAAAATTATCAGTGTATTAAAAACTAATATATTAATACTTTTTTAAAAAATAAGCCGTATTAATATAAAATAGTGATTGTAGTTGATATAATTATATCTAGAAATTTTAATTAAATCTGTTAAATTATATTCAATAATTTTATTATTTTTTTCTCAATAAAGCTTTATTTTAAATTTTCTTCTTTTATAAAGTATAGAGTAAAGTTTTATTATTTTTCTGTAATAAATTTTATTTTAATAATTAACTAAGATATTATATAAATATTTTATTTTTTGAGAAAAGTTTTTTAAATATTTTAAATAATTATTTAAAAAATATTTTATAATTATATTATAATTATAATATAAATGCTAAATCATAATTTAAATATTACAAATATACCTCAGTATAATTAAGGAAACTATATTTAAATCTTAAAAGAAAGATAATAAAAAATTATATATTCTATAGTAAAACTTACAATATATGATTTTAAGTTTAAAAATAATGATAATTTAAATATAAGATAAGCTCACAACTAGTTTAATTGATGATATCAAAAATGCTAATTAAATACTATTTGATGTGAACTCAGATAATATGTTTGAATTTTAAATATTATTTTATTAGATTTAAAATACTTATTATGAGATTTAAATCTATATTTTCTGATTTTCTATAAAAATTTAATAACTATATTAATCATTTAATTACTAAAAAAACTTATAATTTATAATTTTTAGCTTAGAAATAATAGTAATATATAAATAAAATAAAATTAATAACTAGTTTAATTGATATTATCTAAAGTATAATTTAATATTATCTTCATATAAGTCAAATAATATATTTAAATTTTAAATATTATCTTATTCTCAAATTTAGTATATCTTCTATAAAATATAAACTCATAAAGTTTGATTTTAAATTTTAAATATTACTTAGTAGTTCACTTTTAATTATTTAATCATTAGAATTTTAAAATTTATATTTTTAAAGTTAATATATGAAATTTAATTAAAATAATAAATATAAATTAATTATAATATTATTCAAAATATATATACTTTTTAAATATTTACTTTATAATATATATAAAAGGTCTTAAAGTATTAAAATATTGAAAAAAGTTTTGTGACTATAAAAATAATTTTTTTTAAATCTCATCAAATTATTTGATAACTGAATATTTAACTTTAAATTAATATCTTTTTATATAATTTATTTAATTACTTTTAATTTTTTTAAATTTTATAAATAACTATCAACTTCTATTAGTTGTAAAATAAATAATAAAATTTAAGAATTTATAAAATAAATAAGATTTTGATTAAATTATCAAGATTTATAAATTTAATATAATCAATACTACTGTAATTAATAAGAAAAATCAAAAAGTATTTATTGATAAAAATGTAAAAATTTTATATATAGAATTTATATTATATTTGATAAGCTTTTTTATATTATAGTAATTATAATACTCTTGAATATGAAAAACAGATTTTTTTAAATTAATTAAATTCAATTTAATTTATAGTAAAAGATACTTTAAGTCAAAATTTATTTAATTATAAAATATAGAATTTAATAACTTATTTATTTCACTTAAATGTGAATTATATCTCTTTAATTCAGTAAGCATCAATTATAATAAAATAAATTGAACTTTATTTATTTAAATATTATAACAAGGCTAACATTTAGTTAATATTCTTTTATTTCATAATCAAACAGTCTATGCTTAGAATATTTCTCTATCTTGTGGACTATTTTTCTTCCACTTTGCCTTGTATAAAACTCTTTACTTATACTCTTATTCTTCATTATTTTTCCATGTCCTTCTAAATGAGTTTGTTTTTTGTTATGTAAGGAATTGCTAGAGCTGTATTCAGTAGCACTCATTACAGATATTCAGTAATTTTAAATGTAAATTAATTTATTTTAACTATTTTAATTATTAAAAGTGAAAGATTAAGTTAGAGAGAAAGTGTTAAGTCTATATTTGAGTCTATATAACTATACTACTTATCATACAGCATGTGGGTTATGATATCTAAACTGAACTTGCATTCCTACATTGATGTCTAGAACTAATAGTCTACATAAAGTCAAGCAAGTTAAATAGTTCTCTAGGACTAAATATAGTTTTATATCACATTGGTAGTTGGCCGAAGTAAATGGTGAAATTCATTATAATCGCTACCTCACCGAACAACAATCGGGTCCGTTGCAAGAAAATCGTAGCTGGTTGATCCGAGCGGGGAAAAATGGCACAAAACTCCGTTCTGACGTCAACATTACATTTTTAGGTGACAGAAAGGAAAGTTTAATCTGAGAAACTCCAACCTCAGCAGAGTTCCGACCACGTGATATCATCAGGTGGGAACAGTCATCTGGGGCAATCTTGGAACCGATTAAGGCCTCCATCTCTGGGAGTTCGGGTCACTCCCGCTTTACACTGCACCAACCCAAGGTAAGTATAGGTCCCGTCTCCAGTGCTTTGATTCTTCTTGAACTTCATAGATATCATATAGAATCAACATGGGAAAAGCTAATTCCAAAAGCTAATTGCAGTACCTCCAGGGCTAGGTTAAACTACGCATCAAGGTTGAACATGATGTAATCCATAAATTTATAAACGCGTGTGAGAATTTTTGACGCTTCCCTGAGTTCTCTGATTGGTCCAGAATCCAGAACAAAGTAGATCTCAGGGCACTTAAGACTCTTAATCAGGGATTTGTGAGATAATGATTGACAGGAGAGGTATTTCAAAATTTTCAACAATTTACTCATGAAACATCCCTCTCCCAATAACTGATTTTGAGGAACTGAAAAAACCATATCAAAGACATTTGAGAGGACTAGAGCTGATAGCCACTCAGCATTCATGACACATCTAGAAATAAGTCACTTTTATTAGATGCAGTCATGGAGCAGTGGATAAAGAGATAGTGACATCTACAACTTTTCACAGATCTGTCAAAGTTTGTTGAGAGGAACCCATGGAAAAACTCAAGGACAACTCTCAAAAATATTAACTTAACCAGCAAAGCCCCCTAACTTATATTGAAGCGTTATACATAAAAGCATAGTGAAAAAGATTGGTATAGGTGGGTGACATCAGTCCGTCTGTGCAGTCATTGAAGATTCATATGATAAGTATGAAATGAGTAACATTGATATCACAGTCTGAGGTAGCATCAAGTCATGAATTGCCACAACTATGAACTTTTGAAAGATGAAAAAACAACGAGTGATATACACTTATATATAGAGACTTTGACATGCTCATTTTTGTGTTTTATATCTTCTGCTTTCATCAATTCTAAAGAAAACAGGGCTTGATTATTCATCACAGAAGTCATCGATTCGTCTCTGTTCTTATTATACCTTTTACACCATTTCAAATCGAATATTTGCAACATATACGTTTGCAGATTTCAGTATGAAGTTCAACACTGCACCGGCAGCAGCTGTCCTATACGCATTAATTTTAGTGTCCTCGGCACGAGATGTGAAGGGAAAATGGACATGGACTGTATGCGGCTTACAAACATGGGTATGTGTATCCGATCGTGTATTTGGATTTAGTCCACAACTAACGTAAACATTAGTGTGGCTCTAATGACGATTGTCGGAGTTCGGAAGATTGTTTAAACAAAGCATTCGTAAGTGGATTACTCGTTAACAGTACGTTGTTGTCGGAAGCGCTGGCAAAGTCCTGCTAACTTAGTTGTTAGGGACATTCGCCGGATTTGATTTTCTGCTGGGTAAACGCGTTTCATCCTTATACTTGTTGGGCTTGGACGGTAAGTAACCCCTTCTGATTGTAGAGGCTCTTGGGCCAATTGTCAGATAGATAAACTAACAGAGCCAAATAACAGGGGCCTTCTGTTGATGGCGGATCGCAAACGGGAAGCTAATGTAATATGCGTATCATTACGATAATACACAACAAAGCAGCTCGGGGTAGCTAGCCATATTCAACTTCCACTTAATTAATAATGAACTCGTGGCTCTTTAATTATGATTTTAACCCATTAACTTGAGAAAAATAATGTATATAATTAAATAACTAACCTTTCACTAAAGAAACTTCTTATCTATACCAGAACAATAAAATCAATTGAATTTGATATATTTGAAGATATCATATAAAACTCAATTAAAACCTTGTCAAATTTTATCTATGTTCTGATAAGCAGTCAGTTATTAGAACATTTAACTGCATATTCTCCTGAGACATTAACTAGTTAGTTAACAGAATAACAAATGTGATGCCAAGACTCTCTATACTAGCTCCTTGCCCTCACACTGCTTATCTCACACTGCTTATCACACTGCTTACTAAAGCACTTATCTTCTCACACTGCTTATCTGTTAGAGGATTCCCCGGCTACCCGAGATCACGTGCACCTATGTAATTATTAGTAGCTAGCTAGCTCGCTTAGAGTTCCACAGAACAACAAAGTTGATAACAGTCCTCTAAAAGGTTATCAGACCCTTGAATAAGAGGTTTTTTGCTGTGAACAATGTGCGAATGAACAGCTACAAACAATGTGAGGAAAAGCATGAACAACAATTGGATGACATCAATGGTCAATCTATACTCAGGTGGAATGTCAGATTTGACAGAAGAATACATCTCAAAAAGAAAATAAAACTGAGAATCTGAGAATAGAACTCTGAAGAACAAGACTTCAGAGTTCACAGATTCACTGTCTACATTTATTACAGTCTGTAAAAGTATCTCTAAAGTATTTGAAATAGACAAGACAATTTTAAAGAAATTAAACAAGTCTAATAATGCATATAAAGACCTGGTTAATGAAATGTCAGAGAATACAATTGATTCTAGTGATTAGATGTTAGAAGTTAGTGAAGAAACTTTGATGAGATTAGAGATTGCAAAACTTCAATAAGAAGTTGAAATAATGAGAGCTAGCAGAGAGACACTTACTATCAATGCTAGCAGCAATGAAATGAATGAAGATCTTGTAAACTATATACAGAGAAAAAACAGAATTATTATTATAATGAAGATCTTGATTGAATTTAAAGATTAAGTAAAGCACATCAAGAAATCTATCATTCTGACTAATTTCATCAATTATTTAATGTGAAGAGAAGAGATGATATTGATTACTAAGTAATTTGAAATTAATAATATTCTTAATAAAAAGTAATTTATTCTGAAGAATGATATCAGTATAAATATATAATATTTTTAAACTGAAAGAAATATATAACTCTATAATTATATATTATCTTCAATCTTCTTAAAAGCAAGATCTTATTTTATGATACTCTCAGATCATCAGTTGTTAGCATATATTCTATAAATAATTATAGAAGAGAACTTCTTATAGAGATCCGCAGTTCTTCATACTTATTTTTTCAAAAAATTGATTATCTTGACAGCTAAGATAAAAGATTCAGATAAAGCTTTTATAGAATGTCTGATTATCATTTAGATTGAATATACTTATTTGAGGTATAAGATTGGAGATTTTATTTTTTTTAATTATATATTAACTGATATCAATGCTGAATAAATATCATTCATTAGAGATAGAATGAATCACACTAAAAAAGATATCAACATTTGTGATAATAAGATAGATTTCATGAGATTATGTCAAAATATTTTATTATATTTATCAACTGCTGAACAGAACACTATCTTGATAAATATAAGAAATTCTGTAAATAATACTCAAGGTTCATAAAAAAAGAATAAGAATAAAAATAAAAAATTGAGAACTAAATACAAAGATAAAGATAAAAAGTTCAAGCAAAATAGCAATAATATAAAAAAGATATGCTATTACTGTTAGAAGACAGAGTATCTCAAGACTAACTATTAAATAAAATATCTAAAAAAATACTCTGCAGATTATAAAAAAAAAAAAAAATATAAGAATAAGAATAAAGACAGTACTGCTTCAGTTTATAATATTATGAAGTAAATATTCTCTGTAAAAGAGATGATTTATTTCAGTGATAAAGTGATAAAGAATACTTGAGTTCTTGACTTCAGATTAAAACCTCATATCACATCTCTGAAGAATATTATTGAGATTATATCTTAAAGAATGAATGTCATAATGAAGATGGCAGATGAATCTACAATGTTAATAGCAGATGTAGAGAGAGTATGCATTTTAATTAAGGAATTCAGTATTGAACTGAATAATATTTATTATGTTTCAAAGCTGAAAATTAATCTAATGTGTTTGAGAAAACTTATACATAAAGATTATATTTTTAAATAATTGATATACAGCAATAATTATTTAATTTTAATAATATTTTCTAATAGAATAATAGGCTTCATAGTGCATTTGAATGAAAAGAATATCTATATAATAAAGAAATTACTAGTATTAAAAGATTTGATTTATTTTATAATATCAAATGATAATTTTGAACCTGCATATGTCTTGCAATCAAATAATAATTCTCTAATAAAGCTACTCAAAAAAAACATCAAAACTTTATAATATATGATAATACAGTAGTATTAAAAGCTAAATTATTTAAACTCAGTAAATATATTAAAAATGATTATAGATTTTAAATTAAAAATGTAGATAAAAAATTAAAAAACTTTATCATTCTACAAGATATATGTATAAGCAAAAATAATTTATCTGCTCATTGTCTCAATAAGCAAAGCTGTTAGATCATCAATGAGATTTATTGTAAACCTTTCAGGAGAGGGAAAAACACTCTATAATGAAAATAACTTACTCATTAAAGAAGATGCAAGATACTGAATAAAAATTACAAATAACATCACTCACTTTAAATAAATTATTCTGATTATCATAAAAATATAGATCATATCAGCACTTATGAACTTCATTGATATGATTGAGACAATATCTCAATAGTTTATAGAAACTCTACACTAAAATGATGATGAAGAGTTTAAAAGTGATGATCTAAAGATATTTTGCAAGAATAAGGAAATAGTATATGAAGTGACAACTTCAGATACATCTTAATCAAATGACTTTGCAGAACAATATGAACTGATTAGTATTGAATAAGATAAGAAGTCTACTATTTGATAGTGAGCTTGTCAAAAAACTTTGAGATAAAGTAGTACAGACAACTATATTATTGATAAATACATTCTCTACATCAATAAAGATTTTTGACTGCAAAGATAATAGTTTATTGATATCTTTTGAAGTCTGAACAGAAGTTCAACTATCAGTTCATTGAATCTACAGATGAGAATGTAAGATTTACAAGAAGAATCTGAAAGTGATAAATAAGCTTGCAGATAGAATAGATGATAATAAGTAATGATTGATAAGTTATCAAGAATTATATTAATATTATATATAAAATTCAAAAGAATACAAATTAGAAATTACTAAAAATATTATTTTTAATAAAGATCTTATTACAGAATCTATTTCTATGAATGCTATAAGTGAAGCTATTGAGATGATAAGAGAAGATATTAAACTTTCAAAAAAATTAGATATTATCAACTCTCTAAATGACTAATATCACTATCTGCTAGAACAACTAGCAAAAGATAAATTAAAAATTCTGAAGATGTTGATTAATAATGATCTAAAGAATGTTATTGATTTAGTCTATCTACTTGATGAGACAAAGCTAGTTGAGAATAATAAATCTGAGATATCTGTCAGTGATATTGATTTTATTCTGAGCATATTTATAAATTGCTCAAATAATTTAACAAAGGTAAAGAAGAGCTCAAGTTGAAATCACTGACTTAAAGTAATAAAAAAAAAAGTTAAAATATTTAAGAATAAGAAGAAATATATTATTATTGAAAAGATACTTGAGATGAATATCTTGATAGACAAATGAGTATTTAATTGTAAATTGAATAATAGAGATGAGACAATTCATTTTAGAGTCTGCTGAGTGATTAAAGAATTTCTGCTGCAGCAGAGCATTCACTATTTCAAGTTCTATGCTACAGTCATCTCAGAGTCTACAAGTCACTTCTTATTCACTATATCAACTGTTAGAGATTAGAAATTAAAGTCAATTAACTATATATTAGCATTTTTGAATGATATACTGCCACAAGATGAAATGATCTATATGCAGTTATCTACAGGTATTAAATATAGAAGGAGAAGACTGGTGAGTCTACTTAGACAGAGCTTGTATAATATGAAGCAAGTTACAAGAATCTGATATTTTGTGATGACAAAGTACTTCATATTACTAAGATTCAAAATTTTAAAATATAATATAGAATTTTTATTTCATTCTATCTGCAAGATTTATCTAATACTGTATATTGATGATTACAAAGTTACAGGTCTTAAAAAGACAAAATTAGATTATGTGTTGAATAAGATACAGAAGAAATTTGATATAAAAGATATTAAAGAAGACAAGTTTTATCTTGAGATAAAGATCAAATACAGGTCAAATGATGACTTAGCAGTCTTACAAATCTACTATATTAAAGAGATTTTTGAAAATTTTGAAATGAATAAGGTTAACCCCACTAGTATATCTATAATGGCAGGTATATAACTTGAATTCACCTCAAAGGAGGATGCTAGATTGAAAGATGAGTTTATAACTATGAGATATCATTAAAGACTTGAATTACTTTAATATCTTGTATCAAGCACAAGGTCAGATTTAGCATTTGCTGTGAATTATCTGTAAAGTTTAACTTATATCTGAATAAAGACTGCTGAGTGGCCTTGAAGCACATTCTTCACTATGTAAAGAAGATAAAAGCTTTGAAAATAGTTTACAAAAATGAGAGAGATGATAGAAATCTACAGTTAATTGCTTATTGCAATTCAGGTTGAGCAGACACAAACCTTCAATATAAATCAACATTTGACTATATCATCATGATTAATAAATCTTTAATATCATGACACTCACAATGCCAAACATCAAC